AACATTTCTGTCACACGCTTGAGGTATTCGGCCAATCACAATGCACTGGATAGCTGGCCAATCAGAGCACACCTAGCTTTTCAGACCGATGAGCTTTGTAAAAATTGACGTGTTTCAGAAAGACGGGGCATAGAGGAGAAACAATAATGTACATTATGTGGAAAATAATGTGTTTTTTGAACCTTAAACCGCATAAACACATTTCATTACATCAAATACACAAAATAATGTTCTTTTTAGCAACATCATATGACCCCTTTAATGGTCTTTTTATGCTCATTATAATTTCCTTTTTTCACTTCTTCTTATTTATTTGGGGTGAAATGTGACCTGTACAAGATTTGACAGGTTTCATAAGATTCACCTGTGTATTGATGCTGTTCAAGGAGTGTGGCTCTAGCAGCATAACTGCTGGGATGGATTGATAAGTGAAATCTACTTAAGTGCCAATCTTTTATCTGTGAGCTTGAGTGAGAGTATGTCCACTCCTGTCTATCTACACTGCCGTGTCTCTCTGAGCATTCAGAGGCTGCAGCACCCGTCTTTAATTCTCTTTGACAAATGATTACGATACCAAGGCACTTTCTCATTCTCTCTTTCCCCGGCTGTATACTGGACAACTGACCCTTTGCTAAGCCCTGCCTTAAAAATCATTATTCATCAGTCTTAGCTAAGCAACTGTTGCCATGTAGAACTCCTTTAAAATGAATCTTTTGTCTTATGACACTCAATGCGTAATTGAATAGTTTCTTTAAAAAATAAAAATGATTTACAATGTCATAATTAATTCAAATTTATCTACAAATAATATTCATACAATCTCAGCAAGCAACAGTAACCTACAGAAGTCCATTTTCAACACATAAGAAAAAAAAACATGGCAAATCATAATTATGACATAAACAGTCGAAATAATAATGAGATCATAAGACACAAGAAGTCATAATTATGGTGTAAAAATATAATTTTCATCTCATAGTTATGACTTAGTATGTCATCATTTCAGTTTATCTCAGAATTAAGACTTTTGTATAATTTTGATTTTTTTTTTATCTTATAATTTTGTTCTCATAACTTTATCTCATTCTTTTTTTATCTCATAATGACTTAGTATGTCAGTTTCTATTTTTATGTGATAATCATAACTTTCTGTGTCATATCTCATAATTATGACTTGATATCTCATCTAATCTAATTACTATCTCATAATGTCATACGTTTTGTCGAAATTGTTACTTTTATGTCATAATTATGATTTACCAAAGCATGATTTTTCTTTCTTACATGGATTTTCATAGAAAGCAAAGGTGGAAAAGTCAATTGACCTACAATCTTCCACCCTTCCTCTCTATATATGAGAAAACAGGCTGATCTGCTTTCAGTGGGACCACTCCTTAACGCCGCATATGATGGGAGATAATTGGCTTAGACTTCTTACAATGATTACACAGCACTGTTGATTACACACTTTGACATTCAGTTTTCATAGCTGGGCCTAGGTAGCACACCTGTTGGTGCTCAAGGGATGTGCAAATTCAAAGCAAAAACACTTCAGTTTCTGCTCTCGTAGCCTTGGAATCAATCAGAGGCATGTTTGCATCGATCGGCGGTGCTCACGGAGGAGTTAATTATCCTCCATCGCTGCTTTCTGATCCATGTCCTTCCCTGTCAGCTTCAGCACCTCTTAGGCACATTATCCGGAGATGATTTGCAGGGCGGCAGGGGCCACTGGAGATTTTCTTGTTTGTTTGGGAATTGACGGCTCTTAGACTGAGTTCACCTCTAGAGCTCCTGCTGGGGTTGACAGATGTACACGTCCTCATGAGGAGAGAGCTCAGTGTGCACATGTATACACTTGCTCACAAGCTAGTGTATGTATTCAAGGATATGCACTTATGAAATTTGTGTTTTAAGTCATTTTCAGTCACATATGCATTGAAATATTGAATAATACGTACACCATTGCTTTCTGCAGGCATGTAGGCCTACTTTTTTTTGATGTGCATAAACTCAGAAAAATCTTTAAAAACATTTTTTTTTTTTTTTATCAATCCCAGACTGGAATGGTGTTCACTTGATTTTGCTGGTCTAGTATTTTTTATGTGTTATATTACAGCATTAATATTTTGAATTAGCTTTTATTTTAATATTTTAATTTTAGCTTACGTTTCGGAAATTTAAGCTATGTGCTTTTGTCATTTTTATTATTTAGGAAAACTTAGGGAAACTCTTAAACATTTTTTTTTTTTGTAATCAATCCCAGACTGGAATGGTGTTCACTTGATTTTGCTGGTCTAGTATTATTTATGTGCTATATTACAGCATTAATATTTTGAATTAGCTTTTATTTTAATATTTTAATTTTAGCTTACGTTTCGGAAATTTAAGCTATGTGCTTTTGTCATTTTTATTATTTAGGAAAACTTAGGGAAACTCTTTTAAGTTTAATTGTTTCATCTAATATTTATATTTTATTGGTAACAACTTGCAATAATGCTCCATTTGTTAACATTAATTAACAGCACATTAGTTCTCATGAACTAACAATGAAAATACTTCTCATTTTAATTCATGTTAATTTTTACATTTAATAATACTTTATTGAATCAAATATTGTATCTGTTAATATTATTTAATGGACCTGCGCTAACATGAACTAACATTGGACAAATGTATTTTTACGTTAACAAAGATTAATAAATACTGTAACAATATTGCTCACTGTTAGTTAATATTAGTTAATACATTTACTTACATTAACTAATGGGACCTTATTGTAAAGTGTTACCATTTTATTTTATGTCAGCTTTAATTACGGGAAACAAGTTTTTAGTTAACAATAACAACACTAGATATTACTGTATACTGTAAAAAAAAATCTGGGTTGTTTCAACCCAACTTTGGGTCAAATATGGACTAACCCAGCTGTTGGGTTAAATTTTTAAAGTTTGTTTATTTATTTAGAGACTGCGTGGTCTGTTAGGGGCGGGGCTATTTGTCCAACCAATGAGAGATGAGAGAGTATTTGGGGAAACCTGTTTAAATATGATTTTCAATTAACCTTGTAATAATTTTTTGCAATTGTTG